TATTTTTATATATATATATATATATATATATATATATATATATATATATATATATATATATATATACTTACATAACACATGTATATATTTAAATCACTCTCTACCTATTCACACACACACACACACACACACACACACACACATATATATATATATATATATATATATATATATATATATATATATATATATATATAGGAAATATATTAGCATATTAGCCAAGGTGTTTGTCCTCTGAGAGACTTTATCAAAGTGAATGTTTGCCATAATAAAAAGTCCTCAGACAAGAAAAACGCTTTGACGAAGAAAAATGTTCATTTAATTTAATCTTGCTGTCTTTTTTACAGATAAACTCTGAGATTTTTAGATATATATATATATATATATATATATATATATATATATATATATATATATATATATATAATCTGAATATATATATATATGTATATATATATATATATTTCTGTATATATATAATTTTATATATATATATATACATATATAATCTAAAATATATATATATATATATATATATATATATATATATATATATATATATGTATGTATTTATGAATGTATATGAAGAATGAAATGGACAATCTTGTATTATGAAATGGACAATATGTTTTTACTATACCATTTAACTATAGAGGAGTCTTCTGGTTATCAAAGTCAATTTATTGTGTTAATATGGACATTTTTTTTTTTTTTTGAAAAGAGTAATTTGATTTTTAACCAGGTATTTCCTATGCAGCTAAGTGTTATAGCCACTCAGGGGCTATATGACGATTTCGTGTAAGATACAGCTTTTATTCTTTTCGGTTGATAAATATTTTGAAATATGAAATTTCTGCAACATTCAGGCCGGTAAATATAGTTAAAACTGTTTATTATAAACAGAACTTTTACTTAAATATTTCTATCTATAAAATAACGTTTAAACAGAATATATATATATATATATATATATATATATATATATATATATATATATATATATATATATATATATATATATATATATATATATATATGCACTGAAGCAGAGTGTCCCAGCTGGGTGTAGATTGTTACATTTACATACGCTCTATCTATTATATTAACCAAATTAACCCAGAAATATAGCATACCGCAAAAACAATATTTCTACCCTTCTCTCTCTCTCTCTCTCTCTCTCTCTCTATATATATATATATATATATATATATATATACATATATATATATATATATATATATATATATATATATATATATATATATATATATATATATATATATATATATATATATATATATATATATATATATATATATATATATATATATATATATATATATATATATATATATATATATATATATATATATATATATATATATATATATATATATATATATATATATATATATATATATATATATATATATATGTGTGTGTGATATATATATATATATATATATATATATATTCTCACATACATATTATTTCACATCGGATTTTTAGGGGATACGCTTCTTTGCATAAACACCTTGTCTATTCCCTAAAATGACGTTTCAAGTAATAACAATATATGATTAAAAATGAATTAAATACTTCTACAGAATTTACACACGCACACACAGTCATATATATATATATATATATATATATATATATAGAAAATCCTAACAATGTATTCTTGAATATTTTAAAAAGTGCCAACATTCAATATTACTTAATTTGGAACGGGCTGGGATGTTTTTAGAGGTGGTTGGGTGTTACTCATATATGCAATTACAATGAATTCTGTGTGACCTCTGCCTGAAATCATACTGCCTGTATAAAACAAAGATCTGAATGTGAACACAAGAACATACATTAAAGCATACTCTTGCAAAAAAGGTGATAATTAATTGAAAGAGGATGCGGGGGGGATAATGAATACGGACATTTACTTCACTCTCATCGCCTTTCTGAACGAAGAACTGTAATAAATCTGGTTAAAAAATTCGAAGATTTTCCTAGTTTGTCACCTTTAAAAAAGCATGTACAAAGAAAGATTACTGCCAAATATATATCCTTGTATTTAAATATGTATGAAAATTTCCTTTCATATATAAACATGTATATGTAGATATACAGAGATATACTCACTTATTAACACAGTCTCACCAATATATATGATAATGCATAATGCATAATATAGGCACTGTAGCAGATATTGCATAAATATCTACCTCATACGAGCGTACGTAATAGACTTATTTATTTTCCATTAGCAGTCAGCATGCGTAAATAAATGTTTTCATAAGTAGAATTGAGCATTCAATCCTTGTCTAATAAATGCAATAATAAATATATGATTGTGTAACTTCCCACACCTTTTTTTATCTCTCTTTCTCACACACACACATCCTCTTTCTGTCTTACTCTCTCTCTCTCTCTCTCTCTCCCTTCAGCCTGCTGGCCGTTTTATTGGGCATTTTTTCCTGACATTTATAAATAAAATTTCCAGTTATTATAAATCTGTCCATTCGCAATGGCAAAACAATTAGCTAAACAAAATTCCTCGATGCAGCTATTCATTTATTCAAATGTATTTTTTGCCACGCTCATCCACAGCGTCGCAGAATTACGATGAGATTAATTTGGCTGGTAAAACTAAGTTCTAATTTGGATAAGGGCTCCGCTTCGAGTGGCGAAACGAAGAGCCCTGAAATCTTTTTCTCGATGGTACTTACTTCAAGCTTGCTTTTAACAAAAATATTGATAGTTTATTCTGTTAATATTAGTCTTGGCCTGATGAAGTACAGGTTTGTTTCCAAAATATATCGGAAGATATGTGTAATTGTATAATAATAGTTCAGAATTATTGCGAAGCAAATTATTTTGGGTGGTTGATTTGGAATAGATAGCAGATTTTATTTATTTTATTTATTTTATTTTTATTTTTGTTTATTATCATTCTAAGATTATTCAAAATTGATTGTTGCTGTCAATGATTTTTTTTTATTTTAAAATCGTTGAAATCAGCCAACTGTTATAAAGAGGGGATGCTTAGAATCAGGACAGACGTTGGAAAGACAGCGAGCCATCGAGAAGAGGAACGGGAAATTTCAGAGGAACTGCATAGATTTTTACCCTGCTTTACTTTGATTCGGAATAGGATTTCCAGAATTTATTTTAATTTTTTTGATTAGTCTTGCTTTTAGCTACGTTCTTTAACTGATTTTTTTACCTGCGAAGTAAAAATCGTTATGAAATTGTTCCTGATGTTTGCAGGTGCCTTTTTTTTTTTATCCAGGATGGAATTTAATCTAAATTACCTTACAAAAGAAAAACAGTCAGACAACATTGGAGAAAAGCCGTTTAGCGCTACGTATGAATTGAGATAAATATGGTATGTATTTTAATATTTATCTATGTAAATATATATGTGTGATAATTTCAGCTATAATTAAAATATGTCTGTATTAGGAAAATGAAGACAGACGTTAAACTTATCTCATCCGATGTGTTTCGTACTCTGACGGATTTTTATGAAGGCACATTTTATTTTGCAACAAGTCTTTGTAAAAAAAAGAGGATACAATATCTCCATTGCTCAACGAAGTACCCAAGCCAACATACATGACTATAAAAATGTGGAACGCTTAAAAGAAAACTATAAAATGCATAATATCCTGCTATTTTTAAAAATGTGTATATAAATACATATATTTTTACATAATATAAATATTATTTGCATAAAAAAAAATCAACAATAATTAATCGCTTTCGTTTTATAGATATTAAATGTCATCCTCCATAATTTATATAGATTTTCAGTTAACCTAAGGAATATTTGTGATCATCTCAATTAAAAAGAAATTGAAAAGCTAACATTTTTCGTTTGTTTATAAATACTTTTTGCAAAATAAAATCCTCACTTTGATTTCCAAAGTCTGTTCAAAGGACGGAACACATCGGCTAAGCTAAGTTTCCATTTGCCTTTATTCATAAATATGTATACATTTATACCTATTAATTTGTATGTGTGTATATGTGTTGTTATCGGAGAAGGATTATGTATATGTCTTTTTTTTTGCGCGCGTGCATCATCTAATATATTAAATGATTACATTAAGTATCATCTATTAATTATACATGTATATGTATTTAGGCAGCAAAAATACGTTTAAACTATTGTGGATAAGTACAACTGAAAAGGGCTGTGAGTTTAATTTTATATCGTATATTTGATTTTATCTCATAATATGGGGCAATGTGCGAATCAAATTTGTTGATAAACAGACCAAAATTCAAGCTTTACTGTATTTGTTCAAATGCTTTCAGACGTCATTATCAAGAACTGTATGTTATCACTATGAGTTAAAATAATTTTGTATATCTTGCCTTCTTGTAACGATATAATTTAAATTAAATCAAAGACACATGTAATGTATATATATATATATATATATATATATATATATATATATATATATATATATACACACACACACACACACAATGATACATATTTATATTCATAATATGTATTTTTGCATATTACGATAGCTGGTCCAAATCCAGGAGGTCATATAGAATTTTATATATACGTAATAAATTTGAAAACCTAATTGATTAAAATTATTCATAATTTATTTTACCTTACTTCTTTTAGTATTACCAAAATATTATAGACGAAATGGTAAAGTGAAGGAGACTTCCAATTTGTGGCAGTATATATGAACAACATTCTTTTTGTACGTCCGATTGTGTGAGTGTATATATATATATATATATATATATATATATATATATATATATATATATATATATATATATATGCATCCTAAAAACATAAGCTAAAGGAGATTATGAAAACATTTTATTATAATAGAGACATAAATATATGATAAAGTTTCAAAGTTTCCTTGTTCGAGAATTGGGAATGATGGTGAGCCTTGGATTAACTGCGTCCACCATTATTTCCTCACTATTTAATCGCAATTGCAATAACGATTACAAGA